GAGGCAGGAGAATTGCGTGAACCCAGGAGGTGGAGGTGGCGGTAAGCCGAGATCGCGCCATTGCACTCCAGCCTGGGTAACAAGCGTGAAACTCCATCTCAAAATAAATAAATAAATAAATAATCAAGAAAGTAATTCCATTTACAATAGCTACAAATACAATAAAATAAAATACCTAGGAATAAACTTAACTAAAGAAGTGAAAGATCTCTATAATGAAAACTATAAAACATTAGAGGACACCAAAAAATGGAAAAATACTCCATGTTCATGAGTTGGGAGAAATAATATTGTTAAAATGTCCATGCTGCCCAAAGCAATCTACAAATTCAATATAATGTCTACCAAAATACCAATGGCATTTTTCACAGAAACAGAAAAAAAAAATCCTAAAATTGATAGGGAACCACAAAAGACACAGAATAGTCAAAGCCATTCTAAGCAAAGAAGAGCAAAACTGGAGGAATCACAATTACCTGACTTTAAATTATACCACAGAGCTATAGTAACCAAAACAGCATGGTACTGACATGAACACAGATGCACAACCAATGGAACAGAATAGGGAACCCAGAAACAAGTCCATAGACACATAGTGAACTTATTTTTGATAGGTGCCAAGAACATACACTGGGGAAAGGATAGTCTCTTTAATAAATGATGCTGGGAAAACTGGATCCATGTACATACGAATGAAACTAGACCCCTTATCTTTCACGATATACAAAAATAAAATCTAAATGAATTAAAGACTTCACTCTAAGATCTGAAACTATGAAACTACTAAAAGAAAACATTGAAAGTAGAGTCTCAAAGAGATATTTGTACACTCATGTTCATAGCACCATTATTCACAATAGCCAAAAGATGGAGGCAATCCACATGTCCACTGAATAATGGATGGATTAAAAAACTGTGGTATATAGCCATACAATGAAATATTTTCCAGTCTTAAATAAGAAGGAAATTCTGACACATTATGACAACTTTACAAGATAAAAAACTTCTGGAGACTGGTTGCACAACAATGTGTACTTAACATTACTGAACTATTTGTACATTTAAGATGATTAAGATAATTTTATATTATATGTATTTTACCACAATTACAATTAAAATTTTTATAATGTTAATGGCAGAATTTAGATATTAGATAAATAAATGTTCATGGTAAAATTCTTCAAAGTTTACTGTATACTGGAAAAGAAAGAAAAATTATGTATCAAAATTTCTCTCATGAACAAAATCCTAATGCAAAAATCCTAAATAAAATATTGGTAATTTTAATCTAAAGAATTGAAAAGGAAAATACATCACAACCAAGAAGTGTTTCATTCTGGGCCAGGCAAGGTGGCTCATGCCTGTAATCTCAGCATTGTGGGAGGCCGAGGTGGGTGGATCAACTGAGGTCAGGAGTTTGAGATCAGCCTGACCAACATTGAGAAACCTCTTCTCTACCAAAAATATAAAATTAGCCAGGCGTGGTGGCACATGCCTTTAATCCTTGCTACTTGGGAGGCTGAGGCAGGAGACTTGATTAAACCCAGGAGGTGGAGGTTGCAGTAAGCAGAGATAGCGTCATTGCACTCCACCTGGGCAACAAGAGGGAAACTCTGTCACCAACAAACAAAAAAAGAATGGTTCATTCTAAGAATGCAAGAATAATTTCACATTAAAAAAAATCAATTCATCACAATATCAGAATATTTTTATTCAGTGTAAAATACTTCTTATTACTCTTTAGACTTCTTGACTATCAATTACTTAGAAGTGTATTATTTTCAAACATCAGAAGATTTTCCATATATCTGTTATTTATTTCTAATTTTATTCCATTGTAATCAGAGAGCATTTTTGTACTCTTTGGAATCTTTTAAAATTTAAACCTGGTCCAGGTGCACACCAGTAATCCCAGCACTTTGTGAGGTCAAAGTTGGCAGACTGCTTGAGGTCAGAAGTTCAAGACCAACCTGTCCAACATGGTGAAACCTCATCTCTACTAAAAACACAAAAAATTAGGGGGGCATGATGGCATGCGCTTGTAGTCCCAGCTGCTTGGCAGGCTGAGAGGCAAGAAAATTGCTTGAACCTGGGAGGCGGAGGTTGTAGTGAGCCGAGATTGTGACACTGAACTTCAGCCTAGGGGACACAGCAAGACTCTGTTTCAAAAAAAAAAAAAAAAATTGAACCTGTTTTATGGCACACAATATGGTTTACCCTGGTAAATGTTCTACATGCACTTAAAAAGAAATGTGTACTCTGCTGTTGTTGGGTAGAGCATACTGTAAATGTCAATTGGGTCAAGTAGGTTGATAGCATTCAAGTCTCCTAAATCCTTCACTGATTTTCTATCTGTTCTGTCGATTTTTGAGAGTAGAGATGTAGAAATCTTTGAACAAAAGTATTTGTCTATTTCTTTGTAGTTTTTGCTTCATGTATTTTGAAGTTCTATTATTAGGTGCATAAACATTTAGGATTGTGGGGAAAGGATTTTTTTTTTTTTAATAGAGCTAGGTCAATTGTTCTCCATATGAAAAAAAAAAAGATCTTTATCCCAGTTTACATTATATCAAAAAAATTTCACCTGGGTGTGGTGGCTCATGCCTGTAATCCTAACACTTTGGGAGGCCCAGGTGGGCAAATCACCTGAGGTCAGGAGTTCAAGACCAGCCTGGCCAATATGGTGACATCTCTACTAAAAATACAAAAATTAGCCAGGCATGGTGGCACATGGGAGGCTGAGGCAGGAGAGCTACTTGGGAGGCTGAGGCAGGAGAATCGCTTGACACAGGGAGGTAGGGTCTTCAGTGGACCAAGATTGTGCCATTTATTGCACTCCAGCCTGAGCAACAGAGCGAGACTCTGTCTCAAAAAAAAAAAAAAATTCAGATGGTCTAAAACTTAGTGAGTGAGAAATAATCATAAGGCTTTAAGACCAGTGGTAGGAAAATATTTCATCAAAAGGTTATCAAAAATGATACTCATAAAAGCAAAATTGATGAATTAGAATACAGTTAAAAACATTCATCAAAAGAATAAGAAAGTAAAAGAACAAGCCAGCATAAAGTGCTAGAAATATCTGCAACCCATATCTCTGACAAAGGACTTGTATCCATAGTATACAAAAATGTCTACAAATCAATGAGCAAAAGGCAGAGAACTCAATTAAAAAATAAGCAGAAGACTTGAACAGGCACTTCACAAAAAAGAGCATCTCAATGACCAACAATTATATGAAAAGCCAATATTATTCCTCATTAGAGAAATATAAATGAAAACCATTTACACAGTCACCAGAATAGTTAAAATAAAAAGACTGACAATATTAAGTGTTGACAAAAATGTAGCATAAACTAGAACTCTTGCATTGCTGATAAGAGTGTAAATTGGTTCTAATGCTTGGCAAAATTGTTTGGCATAATAAAGTTAAACATGTATCTTCCCTCTGACTCTGAAAGTTCATTGCTAGGTATATGCTCCAAAGAAACAAATGTATATATCTACTAAAGAAGGTAAGGGAATATTCAAAGCAGGTTTATTGATAAAAGTAAAAAACTAGAGCCAACTCGAATGTCCATCAAAAGGAAAAGGGAGAAGCAAATTGAGGTAAATCAATCACACAGTAGAACAGTATGTAACAATAAAAAATAATTAACTGACACATGCAACCACATGAATGAATCAAATAAACATTATGTTGAACAAGAGAAACCATGCCATATTCTCTATGATTCCATTTATATAAATTTCAAGAATAGGAAAAACATATTTATGGTAATAGATGTAAAAACAGTAATTATTTCTGAGAGTAGGAAAACGTAAGAGTTAACTGGGAAATACGAGGGAACATTCTGGAGTATAAGGTCCTATTTCAATTTGGGTTGTGTATACATGAGTGTATAGAAATGTAAAACTTCATCAAGTGGTATATTAAAGATTTTTAAATTTTATTGTATACGAAAAGGAGGGGAGTCATTAATAGAGTAAAAAGGAAAGCAATAAAATGGTAATAGGAAACAAAGGACTTATATCTAGAATATACATAAAACTCCAGAAAAAAAAACCCTAACAAACAACCAATAGAAAAATGGGAAAAATATAGGTGTTTTATTAAAAAACATATCCAGGCTGGGCATGGTGGCTCATGCCTAATCCCAGCACTTTGGGAGGCCAAGGTGGGCAGATCACAGGGTCAAAAGTTCAACACCAGCCTGGCCAACATGGTGAAACCCTGTCTCTACGAAAAACAAAAATTAGACGGGCATGTGACAGGTGCCTGTAATCCCAGCTAGTCGGAAGGCTGAGGCAGGAGAATCACTTGACCTGGGAGGCGGAGGTTGAGGTAAGCCAAGATTGCGCTGTTGCACTCCAGCCTGGGCAACAAGAGCAAAACTCCATCTTAGAAAAACAAAAACAAAAACAAAAACTGAATGATATTCAAATGCCAAATAAACATATGAAAGGTGCTCAACTTTCCAGGTCATCAGAGAAATACAAATTAAAACCACAATGTAATGCCACTACAAACAAAGTAGAATTACAAAAATTACAAAGGACAATGCAAAATACTGGTAAGAATATGGAAAAAAGGGCAACTCTCATTTACTGTTGTAAAGAATGTAAATTAGTTCAATCACTTTGAAAAACTGACAACATGTACTAAATAGTAGATATCGTTATCCATAATAAATAAATATTAACATATTTTTTAAAGTAATTATTGCAAGATTAAGATTAAACTCTCTTTTTTTAATCCTTCTTAGGCCCAGAACAATCTTTAAAATGATGAATTATGTTAAATGCATTATAATCCCTCCAGGTGTGCTTCTAATCTAAAAAAATTAATTTATCCCTTTTAGAAGTTTAATAAATAACTGAGGCCAGAAACTTGAAATGAATAATACTTTATAATTTTTTTCACAATGACCAAGAGACCTCATCGTTGACAGCCCTGCAAGGGTAAACTAGAGATAAGCCTGGCCAAGTGCCAACAGCTTCACCTTTTTGCTGAGATTCATGTTCTTCATCTTAGCCTTCAGCAGCTTCATCTTATTCATAGTGATTGAATTTTCAATTATCTGTTGCCCAGAAGGAGAAGGCTCAGTTTCTTCATCCTCATCTGTATACAAATTATACGTAGAACCACCACTACAAAGAAAACAGTAACTACTTGAAATTTGTTTGATACCTGCTCAGTGTCTAAAAATGCTCTATATGAAACAGCAATCTATAGACGTTACTAACGACAAAACACTACATCTATTTTGTCAATGTCAATGTAAGGAAAATATATTTCAATGAATATACTTCTTAAGAGAAAAAATGAAATGGGAATAAATATTATGATCTAGCATTACTGAAAATCTACTATAGCTGAACTTCTCTGAATTCAGTATATGATAAATGAAGATGTTTTGGCACCTGCCATATCATTCCCAAAGAGGCAAAATCCATTTCCATGAGAATGTGTGATTTCATTTTGCCAGCCAAAGCTGATAATTGTGCAAACCAGACAGCAAGCTAATGAGATTTCCATGAATCAGAATTTTTAAAATATTGGCACAGGAGAGAAGTACAGATTTTTAGTCATCCTAAGGGGATTCTAACTAAAAAGAATAATTCATACACAGGTGTCATCAGAACATTTTCTATCTTAAAGAGAAAAAATGAAAATTTTTAAGTACAGATAACTTAAAATTTGTCTAAGTGTTTGAAAATGTAAAAACCTAGAATAGCATAGATTTTAACAAGAAAAAAAGATAGTCTAGTCATGATACAAGCTATTAAACATGTTAAACATTTCAATTACTGATCAACCACAGTGACATTATTTATATTTCAATGTAATTATATTTGGAGCCCTTCCTCTTCAATTGCATAATATAATGGCTTATTACACTATCCTCATATTTATACTTACATGTTTGTTTTCCCCCTTATTCCCCCATATGTAAGCAAGTTAAAAGCAGATATTAGACTTTATCTTCTTAGTCTGCACCAGGCACAGTGCTTGACACATAGGCAATAAATGTTTGATGAACTGAACACAAAGATTTTGAAATTCCATTTATCTTTTCTATAATGGGAAAATTAGAATGACAAGGATTTGATAAAACACAAGCTCAGCATATTTGAAAAATGATTAAAACTTTAAAGCAGAATAAGAATACATATTAGTTTCTATGCAGATTTACTTATAGGAAAAGTAATCTATGCTATGGAAGTATGAGGGTTAATAAAATTCCCCATTTTATATGGTTGTAAGAAATGGAAATAACTTAGGATAGCCTTAATAGGGAATATTCCTTAATGTTTCTGAAGCACATACTCTCACCACACAAGGGCAAAAAAGAGAGTAGACAGCCCCATTCCTAAATTTTATATGGTGCAACATGAAATGTTCTGAAACTGTGAGTTAATTACACGAACTACATGCATGGGTATCAGAAGGAAGAATGTAGGACTGGTCTCCATAACCAATTCAGTCTGTGATGCTTGACTTGTGACAGCCAGTTACCTACTACAGTATGGCTACCACAGTATGATAACTTACAATGACAAAAATATTCCTGCACCCTCCCTTTTCAGGTATTGTATAGTTGGCCTCGAGACAAAAGCCTTCACACACTAGAAGTTCTGGCACTTACTTGAGTGTACAAGCATGATGCAATAAGGCCTGTCATTTGGTGCCTTACTGCATTATGCTATGAGTAGTAGCAGGAAGAATCAGCTTAGGAACCAGATAGGGTATTTGAATCTTAAGTCTGCTGCCTACTAGCTTTTTTAGTCTTGAGCCAAATCACTTAACCTCTCTTACCTGGAGGTTCTTCATTAATAAAATCAGCTATAATATCTAACTTATGTAGTTTTGTGAGAATTAGGAATAAAGTGTAAGAAGGGCCTGGCAGAACAGGCATTCAGTATATGGCAGGCAGTGTTATTACTTCAGTGTTGTATTCTCCTGTCTCAGCCTCCTGAGTAGCTGGGACTACAGGTGTGTGCCACCACACCTGGCTAATTTTTGTATTTTTAGTAGAGACGGGGTTTCACCATGTTAGCCAGGATGGTCTTGATCTCTTGACCTTGTGATCCAGCCACCTCAGCCTCCCAAAGTACTGGGATTACAGGCTTGAGCCAACGCGCCTGGCTCACAGCAGAATTTCTTTACAAAAATTAAAAATAAAAATGAAGCCATAACCAAAAAGTTTCCAAATGTTTTTATCTGCTAGCCAATCAAGGAAGGCTGTTTATCAATAGTGAATTAGCTCACTATTGATCACAGCAGTTAAGGAAGTATGTCCTGAGAAAATAAACTTGTTTAAAGATTACTTTTCTAGCAGGAACAATTTCTCAAAAAGTTGACAACATTGGAAGCAATATCAACAGTTGATTAAAAAATAAGGCAAATGGGCCAGATGTAATTGCAACTGTAATTGCAGCACTTTGGGAGGATGAGGCAGGTGGATCATGAGGTCAGGAGTTTGAGACCAGCCTGACCAATATGGTAAAACTCCATTTCTACTTAAAACACAAAAAAATTAACTGGGCATAGTGGCGCATGCCTGTAATCCCAGCTACACAGGATGCTAAGGCAAGAGAATCGCTTGAATTTAGGAGGCAGAGGTTGCAGTGAGCTGAGATCACACCACTGCACTCTAGCTTTATTGACAGAGCAAGACTCCATCTCAAAATAAATGAATAAATAAACAAAAAATAAGGCAAATGATTGAGTCATTTTCCTTGTTTTTTGATGAATTGACATACATTACCCATATTGCTCTGTGTTACTGTTTATTGCTGGCGTCAATACCAATTGAAATGACTGAGGAGTTGGTCCCTATGAACAGGCTGCATGAAACTACTACAGGAGAGAATATTTTCAAAGAAGTTGCTAAACACTAATTTAGTACAAGTTTAAGTGAACTCTGCTATAACTGATGGGGTGATGTGTGGAACAGAAAAAACTTAACCAGACAAATTTATCGAGTTAGTGAACTTATAAGGTTGTTATTATTTATTTATTTATTTTTGTCTTTTTGGGTCTCAGTCTGTCACCCAGGCTAGAATGCAGTATGATCTCAGCTCACTGTAATCTCCCACCTCCTGGGCTCCAGCAATTCTCCCACCACAGACTCCAGGGTAACCTGGGACTACAGGTGTGTGCCACGAGGCCTGTCTAATTTTTTTTTGAGATGGGGTTTCACTGTGTTGCCTGGGCTGGTTTCAAACTCCTGGATTCAAGAGATTTGCCCATCTTCCAAAGTGCTGGGACTACAGGTGTGAGCCACCATGCCCCCCTAAACGTGTAAGGTCTTTAAAGCCTACAGTTATTCATTGCATTATTCATCAACAGGATTTCGTGGTAAATGTTTGAATCTATCCTGTGTTATTAAACCAGTAGTGTGAGTTCATTCAGTATCTATCTGATGATGGATACATTTGGTGGCTTACTGGCAATAAAGTTTTATTATTATTTTTTTAGCTCGGGAACTCTGAATGAGAAGAACTGGCCTTAACTACTATTATAAAATACTTTTTAAATCTTTTAATTGCATTTGGAAATTAATGTTTATGGTGGACTTGATAATGTTTTGTAATGAATTTAACCTAAAATTACAAAATAAAACAATGCTTATATGTGAAACATATACTGCAATAATGTCATTTTAACAACAACTAGTGTTTGAATTGCATGTAATAGCAAGCTGCAATCCATGCTTTCCAAAGTTGAAATGACATGACATCTCAAAGTTTTTCAAAGGTAAAATACATAAAATCTCATTAGAGATCAGCATCAACAAGTCAAATTTGCAGTTAACCTTGCATATTTGATGGGCAACACTCACTTTCAACCTCAACTAGGTAAAACATTATTCCCACAGAAAAGAATTGCATTCTTCTCTGGAATCTGTGGTACAAACAGAAGAAAATCACCCAATTGTTAAGTCTATATTTTGAACTTTGTTAGTAAACATTTTGTGGAAATTTGTTCTCTCTTGTTATACAAGTACCTATTTAATATCCTCGATACTGTGTCTTGGCCTGAAAATCCTAAAATAGTTACTATCTGCACACCTTTACAGAATAAGTTTGCTACCCTTGTTGTAGACTAGGAAAGCCTCTTCTAGAACAGGAAAGATAAATGACCTTTGTGGTATGATCATATCGCTTTCTACTCCACTTTCTCATTCTTTTATCCCTTTCCCTGTCCAATTATTGTAGATGAATAGAAAGGAAGAAAAAAATAAATTATCTTGTGATGAGCAATAAGACAGTTCTAATGAAATTCCATGATGACATTTGGGCTGAGTCATAAACACAAATAGAAGTTGGCTGGGGAGAACCGGAGTAAGAGGAGAAAACGACATTTCAAGCAAAGGGGAAAAGGTGTGTAAAAACACAGCATAATAAAAAGACCTGGAAAACTATGGTGACAGGTTGCCAAATGACTCATATGATAAGCTGAGGAGCTTGGGTTTCCTTTAGGAAAAGGGAGCCAAAGGAGGGTGTACTAAGAAAGAAAACTCACAGTGAGCCAGTATGTGGTAAAACTGGTAAGAAGACATTCTATTAATGGCCTAAGGCTGTAACACTCACTGGTACCTCTTCCATTTCTTGCCCATGGTTTATGCCAAGTATATAGTGCTAACCAGATGTTGATTTATTAAAGACAACAGGTTAACAGTCTTGTGTCACAGTCTGCTCTCTGTGGCCACAAAAACTGAGTCTAATCTTTCTCCCACATAACACTCTGTGGTAGGCAGAATCCTAGGGAAATCTCTCTGATTCCTGGTGTTTGCATCACATATGTTTTCCTACCCTTGAGTGTGGGCATGATGAATGTCTTGCCTCTAGTGAACTGAATAAAGCAAAGGTAAAGGAATGTTGCAGATGTAATTTAGGCCCCACATCAGTCAGTTTTGAGTTCATCAAAATGGAGCTGAGGGCAGCAAAAAAAACCAGGCACTCCATCATATAACTGAAAGGAAATGAATTCTGCCAGCAATATGAGTGGTCTTGAAAGTAGATTCTCCTCCCCAGTCAAGCCTCCTGATAAGAGACTTGCTGAAACCTTGATTCCAGGCTTGTGGGACTCGGAGCATACCAATGCTGTGCCTGGACTCCTGACCCACAGAAACTGTTCTCCAAACTACAAGCTGTTTTTAATTTGAATGATTTTACCACTACCTTTTTATTTTGCAGGACCTGTGACACCTTCCCTTCCTTTGTCTGCTTGGCAAACTCCACTCCCCTTTTAAGGTCACTTCTTCTCAGAGGTTGTGCCTAACTTTCTAGCTTTCAAGCATAATAAAGGCCCTCTCATCTATTTTCCTAGAGATCTTGATACCTTTTTATAACATCACCAACATTATATCACAGATACTCTTTATAGCAGACTGTATGCTCCATGAAGGTAGGAACAATCATCTTTACAACATCAGTGCCTTGCTCAATGAATGGCCATAAAAGTTCAGTGAATGCTTAATAACTTGAAGTGAAAAGAGATTAACAATCATAGTAACTCAGAATGCACAGCAACTGAGAGGTTGCCTTGTCCAATTCTCTAATTTTTCTATTGCTTAGCTAAATATCTGTAAGATTTTTCCTTCTGATTTTAGAATATTACAATTTCTCTCCCTTTTATAGAGTAGGAAAACAAGACTAGAGAAGTACAGATTTATCTGTCTTTAACAGCAGAGTTAAATTTAGAAAAAAGATATCAACTTTAGGCTTAACCCCATTATATTAAGGTTGTATAACACACTATTATGACAGGATTCAATAATGTATTAGGCATCTTCGAGTTTCATAGAATAACAGAATCAAATCTTTTTATGAAAACATTCCACTCTGTAAAGAAATCTCAGTTTTATCATATCAATCAAATGATGAACAATTTCAGACTTTACATATTGGGGGCTGGGGTAGGAATGAGATGCATGACATTTGTTAATATATATAGATTTTTTGACAACACAAGGTACATCATACGAAGTTCTCCTTTTCTCAGTAAGACATGCAAATGAAAACCTATTTACCTTAAAGATTCAGATAATGGTGTTAAAGTGCCATCTCCCCTATCTACTACACGAAAGAAATTCAACTGATCTCGTTCTCGGTATACCAAAAATGTAACTTGCTTGTTGCAGGAGATCTTCTCCCAGATCTCATCTTGACTGGAATCCAAGTACTCTGCCATCTCCCTAAGAGGATCTTCTGTAGGAACTACAAATGGAAAAGTGATAAATAAGCCTTCAATTTGGATCAAGTTTTATGCATCTTGGTAGAGTGACAGGATATAATGTACTGAATTTGAACAATAACCCTGTGCATATAATATAAACATGATATTCTTCAAATAAGTTTCTGATCTTTCTAGAGTTAATATAGCAATCCCTATGTTGTGTTAATAAGAAACAAAATGCATGATTACGTTGCTAAGTTCAAAAACAGGGCTAAACCAAAACATGAGGTTTTTTTCCTATGCCATTAGAGTCTGTATTTTTTTCCCTATGCCACTAGAGTCTGCATATTTCCTGATTCTATGACATTTCTATCAATTTTTTTCACTATATAAACTTTCTGCTCCCTATATCTTCAAATATTGGGTCCAACAATAATTAAAACCAACACAAATCCTACTTCCTTTAAAGTACACGCACACACACACACACACACACACACACGAACACACAATCAGGAGACATACCTAAGAAATTAGAAGTAAGCAGACCTATCTTTTTCTTTCTGGTTTTACATAAAGGCTGATTCTTAGACCTGTTCATTGACCTGAAGTCAAATAATTAAAAGTACATAATAACTTAGAATGTGAGGAAGTCACTCAATGTACTAAAACTGCAACAGTTACAGGAAAAAAAAAAGTTCTCTTGTAAAGACATTCTCATCATACTGTAGAAACATTTGTTTTCTCCTAAAAGAGGCCATAATCTCCCAAGCTGCATAACTTTCATTTTTTTATTTTTTTTACCTTCTGGCCATGAGTGACAGTCTTTCATTTATTTATTAACAGAATTGTGGTGCTCTACAACCCTTTAAAAAGAAGTTGCAGCAATAGGAAAATATTGAACTTGGAAAGCAATAAGGTAAAAACATCAAAGATGTTTCCATAGCCTAAATTCAATAACATTATCACTAACATAAAAATCTTACAATATGGTTTAGCTTACTTTATGAAAACAGTTATTTGAATGTTTTTGATTTACTTTCATAGGCCCCAAATGTATACATATTAAAAGACACTTTTCAAACAAGTTCTTGCCCTTTGTAAGTTAATGCTCCACTTTTCATACTATATTAAAAGATAAAAATTTGGATCACAGGGCAGATCTCTGGGAAAGAAAAATAAAAAAACAAAACAAAAAAGAAAAAAAATTATGCCTCTTTTTTTATATATTGCTATAGCCATTACCACAGTCACATGAAAGCCTTTCTTAAACCAGCATAGGATGCCTTACTCAGGCAGGTGTACCTGTGTCTTCTTGTAACAGAAAAATCGTTCAAATTTTATCAGCTATGAAATAATACATATGAAGTTTTATATGCATTGGACACAATGCAAAGGACAAAAGTTAGTTTTAGAAAAGAGACTAATTTTAATCTTTCTATGCTGCTTTGATAATGATTATTTCAAAAACAATTTTTACTTTTATTTTATTTTACTTTTTCTGAGACAGAGTCTCACTCTATTGCCCAGGCTGGAGTGCAGCAGTGCAATCTCCACTCACTGCAACCTCTGTCTCCCAGGTTCAAGGAATTCTCATGACTCAGCCTCCTGAGTAGCCTGCCACCATGCCCAGCTAATTTTTTTACTTTTAGTAGCTATGTGGTTTCAAACCATGTTGGCCAAGCTGGTCTCAAACTCTTGGCCTCAAACCCAGCACCTATAATCCCAGCAACTCAGAAGGCTGAGGCAGGAGATCACATGAACCCGGGTGGCAGAGGTTGCAGTGAGCCAAGATCATGCCACTGCACTTCAGCCTGGGTGACAGGGCAAGACTTCATCTAAAAAAAAAAAAAGAAAAAGAAAAAGAAAAAATAATTTTTGTACTAATAGAAAAAGTAGATGCTCTGATTAAACTCTGAGTAAACACTTTGGTTTAAAGCTGTACTACACACAACCAACTTTCAAAAATATAATACATAGAATTCACATGGCATTAAACACTATATAATTCTATCTTAACATAATGGCTCAGTAAACATAGGGTTCTTGTGCTACTCTAAGAGTTATTACTATAAATATCATCTGTCACAAAGGACAATTACATAAATTCAATTAATTAAAAGACTCTGATATCAGAAGTGCTAAAAGGCTCTAATATTATTAACTTTTTTTTTTTTTTTTTTTTTTTGAGACGGAGTTTCGCTCTTGTCACCCAGGCTGGAGTGCAATGGCGCAATCTCGGCTCACCGCAACCTCCGCCCCCTGGGTTCAGGCAATTCTCTTGCCTCAGCCTCCTGAGTAGCTGGGATTACAGGCACGCGCCACCGTGCCCAGCTAATTTTTTGTAATTTTTAGTAGAGACGGGGTTTCACCATGTTGACCAGGATGGTCTCGATCTGTTGACCTCGTGATCCACCCACCTCGGCCTCCCAAAGTGCTGGGATTACAGGCTTGAGCCACCGCGCCCGGCCTAACTTTTTTTCCTCTAACCTATAAAAGGCAGTTCAATAGCCAAAGTAGCATATCTCATTAAATCCTCTTGAGGTTGCTAAGAAAAAGATGGCAATAATCCTATTTTCTAATCAAAATTATGAAACACAGGGATATAATTTGACATGTGGAAGCAAGCCAGGAATAGAATCAATACTTACCCTTTGGTTTTCTGGTTAGTGAAGGATCAAATAAATCTGAAGGCCTTCCTCAAAATGAGGTCCACAGAAGAGGACACTATGACTAGTCTCCCTCCACTTGATGGAAATCATGTGACATACCTGAATCAGGGACCAATGTGAATACTGCTGGCTCTTCTTGTGCTTATTAAAACCTTCTCATCAATCAAGTCTCCACTAATGTCATCTTTTTCAAGGGCCCTTCCTACACTATTTTCTGTATAGCACTTATAACCATGAGAGGAGTTTCATGGACTCTTTACACATTTATTGTAGGCAGTATCATGAAGCAAAGACTTTCTTTCCCATGTCTACTGCACTTGGAACATTGCATTTAGTAGATGCTCAATATGTATTTGTTGAATGAATGACTAAATTTCAGAACTACCTATATTCTGAGAAAGGATGTAACAGGGCACGATAATATCCATGAAACCCAGACGCATCACAAACCAGGTAAACAAGCAATGTTGGAATTTTGCAAAACAATCATAATCTAAGGAATTGAAGACCTAGTAGATTTCAGCAAGACTCCTATGAAACTAAACAATGGTAACAGAATATTTATAGTATGTCATTCTATTTCTGTTCTCTATACTGGCAAGATTTATTTTTAAATCTCCCTGTATTGAATTGGGAATCATGAAATTTTTCTGAAATGTATCTTAGAGTTCCAGCCTCTACGCATTTAGGTTTTAAAGAACAATGTCTAGAGAACCAAATGTGATTTTTCTAAGACCTAATAGCAGAAAGGAAACCTAAATAAAACCTGAGGCTATAAAAGTGCTAACTGACATAAAGAATGTTACTGTCACGTTGTTTTTATATATATATATATATATATATATATATATATATATATGCCTACCTTTTCTAGTATTTATAGGTCCACCACGCAGAGCCAAAACGAGCTTCAAGGTACAACCTTCTGAAATGCTGTGGACAGTTAACACAAAAATAAATCATAATCATCAAAATACATTCAGTGTTAAATATATATATAATTATGTGCTGATTTATCAGGCAGAGTACCTACTCTCTAAAATATAAAAAGATACAGCAATGTAAATAAATATAAAATGTTCATGTATTTGCTGGTACAAATAATACAAAAGTAAAACCAATTTTCATAAGCCATAAATATGATGTGAAATCCAAGAATAAACATACTGGAAAAGACCTCTGTGATTATGTGTTTTAGTATGTTCATTTCACATGCAAGGAAAAGGAGGCCCAGAGACGAAAAGAGGCTTGCCCAAGACCCAAAGTGTAGAACATAGCAAATCTATTTAGTAAAATAGAAAACAGAAAACTAACACTCCCAGTCCTCTTACAGCTATTCCACATTGCCTCTTATCCTTTTGTCCTTTTCTTAACAAAAGAGTGATAAATTATGTGAAAAAGGGAAGAAATAAGAAAGACAAAGTGTCAGAAAGTATGTTGGTAGTCGCTGGTGCACAGAACATTGCTTAGTAACAAAATGAGGGCTTAAGGAGAAAGGAAAGATTTCGTGAAGAACAATTCTCTCTTATACAAAACTCGTAAAAAAAGAAAGAAAAGGAACATGGCCAGGAGGGAATTGTTCAAAGAAAGTCAAAGAAAGGAGCAAAGTAGGCAAGAAGATAATAGGAAGATTTCAAAAGGCTGAAGATAAACAGCCTGACATGAAAAATGAAAAGGTAAAACAAAATGTATCAGAGGATAAAAGTTAAGTAGTATAGGGTACCAAACTAATGCATCTAAAGTTCAGGGTGTATAATGAAATCTAGGAATCTGAACTACTCAGAAGAAAAAGATACATGACCTAAGAGTTCAAAAGAAAAACATTAGTATATGGAGTCATAATACTAAGTGCCTACAAAATAGCCAACACGCAATTACACTCACTTGTAATTATTCAAGCAATAATCATCTTCAAGTTCCATGTTATTCCAAATTAAGTGTTGTTGACAGATGGGAATACCTTAGGGGAAAGTTATTTTTAAAAAAGTGTTAATTCAATAGCATCTCCAAAAGAGTGATACACAAATCTATTTCATTAAGGAACTAAGAGTACTAATAAATTAAACATTCTTCTAAATTGAATGCTAGGTACTTAGCTAAAATTTACAGAATCATAGGTAGAAGGCATGCCTAAAAGGAGACATAGTCCAATCTATTCACTTTAGAAAAGAACAAGATGTTGCAGTAACTCCTGGTCCTAAAACAAGGTATAAGATTAGGGAGCCCTTTAAAAGGCAAGATAGCATGCTCCTGCACAGCAAAAGAAACTATCAACAGAGTAAACAGATGATCTACTGAATGGGAGAACGTATTCACACACTATGCATCTGACAAAGGTCTAATATCTACAATCTATAAAGAACTTAAACAATTCAACAAACAAAAAACAACTCCACAAAAAAATGGGCAAAGGACATGAACAGACACTTCTCAAAAAAAAGATATATATGTGGCCAAGAAATATATTTAAAAAGCTCAACATCACTAATCATTAGAGAAATGCAAATCAAAACCATGATGAAATACAAGCTCATACCAGTCAGAATGGCTATTAATAAAAAGTAAAAAATAACAGATGTTGGCAAGGTTAAGGAGAAAACGGAACAATATACACTGGTGGTGGGAATGCAAATTAGTTCAGCCATTGTGGAAAGCCATGTGGAGATTTCTCAAAGAGTTTAAAACAGAAGTACCATTCAACCCAGCAATCCCACTACTAGGTATATACCCAAAAGAAAATAAATTGTTCTATCAAAAAGACACATGCACTAGTATGTCTCATCACAGCACTATTCACAATAGCAAAGAGATGAAATCAATCTAGATGCCCCACAACAGTGGACTGGACAAATAAAATGTGGTACATATATACCACAGAACACTATGCAGCCATAAGAAGAATAAAATCATGTCCTTTGCAGCAACATAGATGCAGCTGGAGGCCATCATCCTAAGAGAACAAATGCAGGAACAGAAAACCAAATACTATGTGTTCTCAATTATAAGCAGGAGCTAAACATTGAGTATACATGGACACAAGATGGGAACAATAGACACTGGGGACTACATGGGGAGGCAAGGGGACATGGGTTGAAAAACTACCTATCAACTATTATGCTCACATCCTGGGTGACAGGATAATCCATACACCACATTTCAGCGACACAATTTACCCATGTAACAAACCTGATCATGTACGCACTGAACCTAAAATAAAAGCTGAAAAAAAAAAAATTATCAATCAGGCCTGAAGAGTTTAATACTTAAGGCCTAAAATGGAAATCAAAAGCAAGTAGGAGTAGCTATTCTTATATCAGATAAAACAGACTTTAAAGCAACAATATTCAAAAATAAAGACAAAGAAGGTCATTATAAAATGACAAAAGGATCAATCCAACAGGAAGATATTACAATCCTAAATATATATGCACCTAACTCTTAAGCTCCCAGATTCATAAAACAATTACTACTAGACCTAAGTAAAGAGAGACAGCAACATAATAGTAGTGGGGGACTTTAATACTCCACTGACAGCACTAAACAGGTCATTAAGACAGAAAGGCAACAAAGAAACAATGGATTTAAACTATACTATAGAACAAATGGACATAACAGATATTTACAGAACATTCTACTGAAGAACTGCAGAATATACATTCTTTTTATCAGCGTATGGAACATTCTCCAAGATAGATAATATGAGAGGCCACAGAAAAGTCTTTAAAAATCAAGATTCCACCAAGTATCTTCTCAGACCACAGTGCAATAAAATTAGAAATCAACTCCAAAAGGGACCCCTCCAACTATACAAATGCATGGAAATTAAACAGTCTGCTACTGAATGATTTTTGGGTTAACAATAAAATCAAAATGGAAATTTAAAACTCTTCCAAAGGAATAATAGTGATACAAGTTATCTAAGCCTCTGGGATACAGCAAAAGCAGTGCTAAAGGAAAGTTTATAGTGCTAAATGCCTATATCAAAAAGTCTGAAAGATTACAAACTGACAATGTAACATCACACCTCAAGGAATTAGAGAAACAACAACAAACTAAACCCACAGATAGCAGAAGAAAATAAATAACAAGCAAAGACCTGGAACCAACCCAAATGCCCATCGATGATAGAATGGATTGGGAAAATGTGGCACATATACACCATGGAATATTATGCAGCAATCAAAAATGATGAGTTCATGTCCTTTGTAGGGACATGGATGAATCTGGAGAACATCATTCTCAGCAAACTGACACAAGAACAGAAAATGAAATACCGCATATTCTCACTCATAGGCGGGTGAGGAAAAATGAGAACACATGGACACAGGGAAGGGAGTACTACACAATGGGGTCTATTGGGGGGAATAGGGGAGGGACAGTGGCGGGGGGGGAGTTGGGGAGGGATAGCCTGGGGAGAAATGCCAAATGTGGGTGAAGGGGAGGAAGGCAGCAAAACACACTGCCATGTGTGTACCTATGCAACTATCTTGCATGTTCTGCACATGTACACCAAAACCTAAAATGCAATTAAAAAAATAATAAATAAATAAATAACAAAGAGCAGAAGTAAATCAAATTGAAACAAAAAAATAGTAAAGATCAATAGACAAAAGGTTGGTTGTTCGAAAATATAAACAAAATCTATAGGCCATTAGCTAGATTAATCAAGAAAAGAAGACAGAAAATGCAAATAAACTCAATTAGAAATAAAAATTGAGACATTAAAACTTATGCCACAGAAATACAAAATATCATTCAAGATTACTATAAACACCTTGGTGCACACAAACTAGAAAATCTAGATGAAATGGAAAATTCCTAGAAACATACAACCCTCCTACCTTAAGTCAGGAAGAAATAGAAATCCTGAACAGACCAATAACAAGCAGTGAGAATGAATCAGTAATTTTAAAATTGCCAACAACAAAAAATAAAGCCCAGGGCCAGATGGATTCACAGCTGAATTCTACCAGACATTCAAAGAATTGGTACCAATCCTACAGAAACGATTCCAAAAGATTGAAAAAGAAGGAATCCACCTAATTCATTCTATGTAGCCAGAATTACCCTGAATTTAGGAAATTACCCTGAAGCCAGGAAAAGTACATAACAAAAAATAAAACTACAGACCATTATCTCTGATTAACACAATTGCAAAGATTTCAATAAAATACCAGCAAACCAAATCTAATACACATCAAAAAGGTCATTCACCAAGATGAAGTAGTAATAGTTCAACATACATAAGTAAATAAATGTAATTCACCACATAAACAGAATTGGAAACAAAAACCATATAACTGCCTGGGCACAGTGGCTCATGCCTGTAAACCCAGAACTTTGGGAGGTTGAGGCAGGCGGATGACCTGAGGTCAAGAGTTCGAGAGCAGCCTGGCCAACATTTTAAAACTAGGTCTCTACTAAAAATACAAAAATTAGCCAGGCAAGGTAGTGCATAATCCCAGCTACTTGGGAGGCTGAGGCAGGGAAATCGCTTGAACCTAGGAGGTAGAGTTTGTAGTGAGTGAGCAGAGATCATGCCACTGCACTCCAGCCTGGGCAACAGAGACTCCGTCTCAAAAACAAAAAGAAGGCTGGGCTCATGCCTGTAATCCCAGCACTTTGGGAGGCTGAGGTGGGCAGATCATCTGAGGTCAGGAGTTCGAAACCAGCCTCACCACCATGTAGAAACCCTGTCTCTACAGAAATTAAAAAAAAATTAGCTGGACATGGTGGCACATGCCTGTAATCCCAGCTACTCGGGAGGCTGAGGCAGGAGAAGTGCTTGAATCTGGGAGGCAGAGGTTACAGTAAGCCAAGTTCACGCTACTGCACTCCAGCCTGGGCAACAAGAACAAAACTCCATCTCAAAAAAAAAAATATATATATATGATCATCTCAATAGATGCAGAAAAAGCATTTGATAAAAACCAGCATCCCGGGCACCTGTAATCCCAGCTACTCAGGAGAGTGAGACAGGAGAATTGCCTGAACCCGGCAGGTGGAGATTGCAGTGAACTGAGATCATGCCACTGGCCACTGCACTCCAGCCTGGGTGACAGAGTGAGACTCCATCTCAAAAAACGAAAACAAAAACAAAAAAAAAGAAGAAAAAACCACTAGCATCTATGACAAAAACCCTCAACAAACTAAGCATAAAAGGAACATATCTCAACATAAAATGCAACAATAATAAAAGCCATGTATGACAAACCCACAGTTGACATTATGGGAAAAAGTTGAAAGAGTTTCCCTTAAGAATTGGAACAAGACAAGGATGCCCGTTTTCACCACTTGTACTCAACACAGTATTAGAAGTGCTAGCCAGAGCAATCAGGCAAGAGAAAGAAATAAAGAGCAGGCTGGGCATGGTGGCTCATGAGATCAGGAGATCAAGACCATCCTGGCCAACATGATGAAACCCCATCTCTACTAAAAATACAAAAAAACTAGCTGGATGTGGTGGCAGGCACCTGTAATCCCAACTACTCAGGAGGCTGAGGCAGGAGAATTGCTTGAACCCAGGAGGCGGAGGTCGCAGTGAGCCAAGATTGTGCCATTGCACTCCAGCCTGAGCAACAGAGCGGGACTCCATCTCAAAAAAAAAAAAAAGGAAATAAAGAGTAATCAAATTGGATTAAGGATTAAGGAAGTCAAACTACCTCTGTTTGCCAATAATATGATGGCACAACTAGAAAACCCTAAAGACGCCTCCAAAAGACTCCTAGATTTGATAAATAGATTCAGTAAAGTCTCATGTTACAAAAATCAATGAACACAAATTAGTAGCACTGCTATATACCAAAATCGACCAAACTGAGAATCAAATCAAGAACTCAATCCCTTTTACAATAGCTGCAAAAAAAAAAAATAATAAAATATCTAGGAATATACTTAACCAAGAAAGTGAAAGATCTTTACAAGAAGAATTACAAAACAATGCTGAAAGAAATAAGGGAT